GCTCATTTCTTATTCTTTGTTGACATGGTGTCTCGGTATGTTGCCCAGGCTGAACTCAGACTAGTGGGCTCCAGCCATTCTCCCACCTCGGCCTCCTAGCCTTTACCGATGGTTTAAGTCACCATGTGAACAGATTTTTTTAATTACAAAAAAAAATTCTGCATCTTTTAGTCCTTAAAAAATGTCACATGAGGCTGGGCTCGGTGGCTCAGCCTGAAATCCCAGCACTTTGGGAGACTGAGGTGAGTGGATTGTCTGAACCGTTCGAGACCAGCCCGGGCAACATGGTGAGACCTCGTCTCTACAATAAAAATAAGCCGGGCAGGATAGCGCATGCCTGTAGTTCCGGCTGCTTGGAAGACTGAGGCGGAATGATTGCCAGAGCCCAGCAAGTCGACACTGGGATGGTGGTGAGTGTGCCACTGCACTCCAGCCTGGGTGACGACAGAGTGAGATTCCAACTCAAAAAAAAAATTTATTTTTTATTTGAGAGATGAGGTCTGCTCTGTCGCTCAGGCTGGAGTGCAGTGGTATGATCATAGCTCACTGCAACCTTGAACTCCTAGACTTAACTGATCCTGCCTCAGCCTCCCAAGTACCTGGGACTAAAGGTGCATACCACCATGTCCTGGCAATATTTTACATTTTTTCTGTAGAGATGAAATCTCGCTGTGTTGCCCAGGCTGGTCTCAACTCCTGACCTCAAATGGTCCTCCTACCTTGGCCTTCTGAGTAGCTGGGATTACAGGCAGGAGCCATCACACTTGGCTGATGTGTATGTTTTATATATAAATTTAAAGGACAAAATTAGGACAGCACTGTACGCAGTTTGTGCCTGGCTTTCTTTTCAATTCATTTCAGTTCATTTATCGAGTACTTTGGCACCTTAGTAAACAAGCAGGTGTGAGCTGTGATCTCAGTGTATGTATATTTGTATGTATGTGCGCACAAATGTGAAACAAAAACGTGTGTCTGGTAAAGTGCACTTGGAGTGAAACGGAATGTTAGAAATCCTCTCCTAAATGTGTGTGTGTGTGTGTGTGTGTGTGTGTGTATATATATATATATATATTTTTTTTTTTTTTTAAGTGAGAAAGCAGGAGTTATTGAGAGGACAGAAAAGCTCCCACAGTGGGAGGGGACCCAAAAGGGTTGCCCTAAATATATTTTTTAAAAACATAGATTTATTTCTCCATCTCTGTTTTTTTGTTTTGTTTTGAGTCAGGGGTCTCACTCTGTTGCCCAGGCTGGAATGCAGTGACACAATCATGGCTCATCTCAGCCTTGACCTCCTGGACTCAGGCGACCCTCCTGCCTCAGCCTCCCAAGTAGCTAGGAATACAGGT